TGAATTAGCATAGACATTTTTGGAATCACTTTAATATAAATGCACATATTATTTTGAACTTAATTGCTATATTTCAAGAAAAATCCTAATGAAAATTAGTTGAATGTTCGAAAAAATAAAATATTGACCAAGTATTGATACACATATAATGTATAGCTAAATTAATATGCACGATGCTAGCTCCAACAGCATCCCTAGAACTGAGTTTTCTACTTTGAAAATAGTACATAATTTTAAAATATAAACAGAAAGGGAAGAGGAATGTACTCCTTTCCCTTGCATTAATTAAGAAAGAACTCTTGGAAACTGTCGGTGGAAGAGGATTTCAACAATTGTGATTAAAAAAATTGCCACTAACAAGAAAGGGATCGAGGCTCTTTATATTTAGTAAGATGATTAGCAATTTTTGCGCATGATATATTAAACATTTATGAATGTCAATACAACGGTAACATTACTGCTTCCGAACGTCACTCATTATTTTAGAAGAAACGTGATATACATTTACTTTTTTTATGAATTTAAATAATTTAGAATGTGAATGTATGTGCATATCAACGACACTTTAATGTGCGAATAGCATTTTATAGCGTTCCGTGATTATTTTTTACTTCGTCTGCGTTGAAAGTAGGATGAGTAGTAGTTTATTCAAGGAATGGCTCCGATGCATCAGAGAAGGTTCGCGGCATTGATTGGCTGACGCGTTGCCGCACGGTAGTGCGAGTGGAACTGTAGCTCCAGCGCGCGGAGCCGGCTCTGCAACTTCCGGTGGTGGCACTCGACACACACACACACACACACGAGCACACACACACACACACACACACACACGAGTGGGCGGCGACAATGCGTGGAAAGCTCAACGGCAGCGGCTGCGCATTTGACTGCAGGGCAAGCAATAGCCATAATGAATGATAACCAAGCTAATTACAAAATTTCAAATTTCATTTCAACTTATTCTATCGAATAAATTTTAGTTTCGCTGTCATGGCGAATATTTCTAAAGCAATTCAATGTCAATTTTGCGGAGAGACCGGGAGATTTATAGAAAATAAAACCGAGAAGAGGGGAGTGGTTTTGAGCGTTTAGACTACGCAGCATCCTAAGATACTGCGTCACCCATCCCCCCCCCCCTTTCATTGCTTCAGAGACTTATGCAGTGGGCAAATGTAGCGAAGGTCACTCCAAATGCCGCGCCTCGTCAATATTCTGCTGCCTGCTGGCGTAGTAGGAGGCGACTCGCTTATACGAAACGTATGGGCCTTTGGGAGGCTTTTCGCGCCTGGATACCGCATTCGATTGTTGGGAGATCATGAGTTGACTACAAATATGCTGGAACAGAAATAAATTAAACTGAGAGCGCAGCTGTCGCGGAATAATTTGAAGGCCGCCATTGTAGTGGAAACATATGTACCCAATGGATATCGTGGCTTGATAGGAGCAAGTTAGTTGTTTAGAATAATGATGTGTTCTTTTCAGTGCGTGAATTGTTCAACTGAATCAAAATATATGTGATATAATACTGTAAGTATTGTGCGGCATATATAAAGTACTCGGACAAATTTACTGTTCCAAGTACTAATTTAATGTACATGTTTATACAGTTTGACTCTTCAGAATGAAATATTACGAGGGGAACATTTATGTTGTTTCTTAATCAGTAATTAATTGTAAATGTTGGCATTTCGTATGAAAACTTTTGCATATCTTTATTGTTAAGGAAAAATGGCAGCTGATATAGAAAACATGATCTAAACATTATCCATTTACAGTTCAAGTTTAGGTTTTTTATTTCATATTTATATTTCTGTTACATTCACCCCAAAACAATGATGATGAAGAGTGCAATTGAAAAGTCGGATTTGAAACCCGCGCGCAAATCCACCACAATGGCGGCCACGGCCGCTTTCAATTTATCCGGTGTCCTCAAGTATAGGGGCTCCAACGAGCTAGAATATACTACTGTCCCTATAGTTTTGGCGCTCATGGTGGAGGCTCGCCGAACTATTGGCCGCCATGTTTTTTAAAGTGAAAACATACGACTGCGTAACCTGGGTGCAACCGACCGTAACCATTGCCCGTAACCAAAGCCAAACATAATACTAGAATACTTTGTTTCTCAGAGGGCGCTACTTTGACTGCAAAAACCATAGCTTCAATTTGCTTCAAAGTTAGAGGCGCTTCAGCCACTGTATGTAGTATATTACAGCTCGTTGAGGGGCTCGGATGACAGGGCGTCGCCAGAGGCGTTGGATTTTGTGGTGCACCTGCCACGATCTGTCATTTTATGTACTACAAACATGACGATATTTTGAGACATTTCTCAGTGCTACCTCTTGATTTACGAATCAGTGGTTTTTGTCAAAAATGATTTACCCAAGCATGGAAACATTGCAGCTAATCCTAAGACCGATATCTCTAACTATAAAACTGGACGTCGTAATCATATTCATCAGGTGTCAGTATCAACAGCCCATAACAACACGTTCACATAAAATACATGTACATTATTTTACAACACATTGCCAAATAACATTAAACAATTTAAAAAGTTCAAAGAAATTAGGAATCTAAACTGTGGTCTGAAATATGCAAATAATATATTAATGTGCAATGTTTGAAAAAGTGTATTTTTCAGAAGAAAATGTGCGATAATTCATTAACCGCTCATTATTTTGTGTGTTACATGTATTTTCATGCTGTTTTTCTGCAGGTCCAGAATTACTACTACCATAAACATGTATTTTCTTCAGCTTTATACAAGGATAAGGTAAAAGGTCGATACACGTGATGTATTTGCAATACCGAGGAATTTTTCAGGTTATCTACCATTTTCTTCTTTTAAACACGCATAGGGAACTTAACTTTTAGTGAGGTGAGGTAACTGTAGAGGAAAAGATAACTGTAACGGGAATGGTAATGGACGCGTAGAAAGTAGGACGATCACACGCTGTTGTTGCAGTGGAGTTGCGTATAAAGTCGGTCTTTCACACAAAGATTTCCCACGGCTAGAAACCTTTGCATGTCAGCGATACACATTTCCTTTCGTATCACAAATATAAATCTTTCTTTCATAAAGCGGAGATAAGCATAGCGGAGCTTCTAACAGATCAGTTACGTGGTTGGGAAACAGAATTCGCTTCAATGTTTGCCCACTATTGTTTCCGACACACAGTTTCCCCTTGATGTTTCTTTTATTAATGTCGGTTAAGTAATAAGAGGAAAACAATTGTCTGTCAAATACTTCTTCTTATATCGGAACTTACTCACAGTGGTAACAAACAAATAAAAAGGGTACTTCTATTGGTAATAGTGCATGGAAAATATTTTTTAGACAGTCATTTGTAAAAACTGCTCTTTTGGGTCATGTGTGGCGTGCTAAAAGTTCAATTTTCAGCACAAGTGCAAAACACGAGACGATGCTCAAGTGTTCAGATAAATCTGTGAATGCAACAAAGAAAACAAAATGTTTTCGTCTGACCGCGTCACCTACTACTGATTTTAAATAATCATTAAGTGATTTGTACACTTGAATTAAAATAGTCAGTAAGGCTGTCTAAAAAATAATGTGTTACGTGGTAAAAGTGACTTTATTTTGCTCCTAGAATATTTTGTATAAATATAAATGTGTGTCCAAATTATTAGATTAACACGTTGTTTCGTGTGTTTTTTCAAAATTTCTTACAAATATTGTTTTCTAGTTATCTAATATATTTAGTATATACAGCGGACTATCGCAATAACTTATAACAAGTAACACAAGGAAAGTAATGCTGCTGGAAGATGGTAGCACTGATCTGTCAGCTAGTTTGCTTAGTGCTAAAAGCCTGTTTTCGTACCAATTGTTCAGTAAAATTTGAATTCTTAGAGTAAACATTTGTTTTAGTGTGTTGTGCTTGTTGTAAGTTGAAGAGATATGAATATTATTCAAAACATTATAAATTTAAATTTGGGTCGAGTAAAAGTGTTTTATAATAACTCGTCCAAATTAGGCACCATGACGAAGAAATCATGACTGCGTATAAAAAAAACTCGTGGATATTTTCCCTAAAAGTCTTAAAATGCTCATAAATAACAATGGAATGCATACTAAATTTGAAAAGAACTCGCATGTTATGTTAAACTGTTTATGTTTTGTTTTCTGGATTCGTAAATTACAGTTGAAACGCTTTTAGTCTAATAATTTGGTCAGGACTGTACAGGGTTAATCACGTGACGTCAGCAACTCTTGCCGTTTTTGAACGGTTGAAGCTATTGCAATGCAATTTTCACGGAATTAACGAGGGAAAGGGGCTAATTGATAATGTACTAATTTCTATTTTATTACTTGTATTTCACGAGATATTGAAGTAACTCTTTTTTCCAAATGGAACTACACATTTTTAATGTATCATGAGAAGCATAAAAAGACAAATCCAATGATATGCATATTGTCATAAGTTAGATCAATATTTTTGGGCATTTAAGTAATTTTGAATTTTCTGTGACTCGTGTTAAACGCAAATGTTGAATGCAACAGTCCGCCACACGAGGTCACGCAGCGCTCCCCCTTACAACGCACGCTCGGGAGAGGGAAGCTGATCGGTGTATTTGAAGACGCGTTTCAAATCTCCACAAAACTGGTGCACTTTCTCCCTAAACTCTGCTTTCTACACTTGCGCATTTTCAGATTTTCTGCGTTTCTTTGATTGATGTAATTGAAAATACGGTAATATCGTAAAATACAAGTGATAAAATATAAATTTCTACATCTATCAGTTAGCCTCTTTCCGTCGTTAATTCCGAGAATCTTGCATTGCAATAGCTTCAAAAACTTCAGGAGGTGCGGACGTCACGTGACCCGCCCTTATGTACATACATGTTGGTCATGTGTTTCCTTCCACCTGCACGCTCCTCCTCGCCGAGGCCTGCCACTTTCCCCGCTGTCCCCTCCCGGCGTGCGGGGGCGAGCGCGTGTGCATGCGGTGTGTGCGCAGGGGCGCGCGCGCGGGGTGCGCGCTGGTGGTGCGCGCCGTGTTCGCGTGCGGCGGCTTCTGGCGCGTGCGCGTCAAGGGGCGGCGCGCGGCGGCCGCCGAGGCGCCCGTGCTCGCGCTGGCGCCGCACTCCTCCTTCTGCGACGCGCTGCCCGTCGTCTGCCTGGGCGCGCCCAGCGTCGTCGCCAAGGCCGAGACCGGCCAGCTGCCCTTCTTCGGAAGTACGACAGTTAGCTCGGACGCCTCGTTGGCGCTTTACGAAGGCAATAAATCTACAGCATGGGACAGTGTGCTTCACTTTCCTCCACACACATACTTTACTCCTTTCGCGCCTCACCACGCAAATTTCGTTGTGCTCCTTTCACCATCCACGGAAGGTATCACGCGGGCGACGAAACAAGCGCTTTGAATTTAGCTCAGAGGCTTCTTTTACATGCAGTTAATCAACAACATAGGACAGACGACTTTACTTCCCCCACCACCACACGCAAGGTTTTCTCTTGCGTCTCGCAAATTTAGTTATATATTTTCACCCCCAAGAAAATAATCACGCGGGCGACGAAACATGATTTAACTTTGATTCAGGCGATTCTGTCAGGCATTAGGAATACTGCAAATCTACAACATGGGACAGATGCCTTTACTTCCCCTCCGAAGAAATTCTCTGCTTCCATCGGGTTTTAACTAGCAAATTTGGGTATAACGATAATGAAACGCCAACCGTTATACCATCGAACCTGCTTTAACATGGTATGAATGTAACATGCTGTAACATGGTATGACGATGAAGGGATCGTTTGTAGTCACTCGGCTAATTCGTGAATTATCCACAGGGCGCTAACTTAATTACGTTAATTGTGTGAGTGAGAGGCGAATTGTGTGTTCATAGGAAGTATTTTTGCATAAAAGGCGTCGAAAGTTTGCATAAGCGCGTATTGCAGACACGAGGTTGTTGAAAGGAAATCTCCTAGATCGCGGAGGTTAGGTGGTATCGTGTAAATGAAAATTTTTGACTGACACCCAACTCGAAAATACACCACACTATCTTGAAAAAGGTCCAGCAGTCTGATCCCTATTTATCATATAATATGTGCTATAAATGACAAGTCATCTCAAGTTGATTAATGTGCATTTCATCCGATGTAAGTCCGAAATTAGTTTTTAATCTGTTTCTTCTTCGGAGATAATGGACTCATTTTGGACAATGTGGCCATAAAATTAGTCGTGTTGGCGTGGAGCGTGGCCTTCATTTGCCATATCTGAGGCGCGCTGATAGCGGTTCCTTCGGAAGAGCGCTTGCTGGGAGCAGCGGAAGGCGACGAGCGCCATGAGCGACTGGAGCCCTCTGGTGGTGGGCGGGCGCCCTGCGACCCCTCCACCCCCGCTCACATTCCAACACCCAGCTACCCCGCTCCTCCTGCACCTCTAGCCGTCTTCACTCGACAGATCTACCTCGCTACACCCACGCATCTGAGAGTTCTATCATTTCATCAAGTAATATTGAATCTCCTCCAGCACATGCGTTTTACGCTTGGAAACATCATTACATGATGTTGACAAAGTAATCAGTCAATTGTCGTCTCTGTAAATCACGCACATATATTTCTTAAAGTATTTTTTTAAAGAAATGAACTGTCAATTAACGTATATATAATTGTCAACTTTACCGCGACCTTGTTGGACGCAATTACATTCGGAGATATGTTCCGCGGACATAAAGAAATTCAAATTGTGACCATGTTACTAAAAAACAATGCATTTCAATAATTAAATCTGGTGATCAAAGAATTGATTGCCTGTTCGAGGCGACCAATGCTTTGAACAAATTTAATAAAATAACGAATATTCAAAAAGCATATGAATGACCAATGCATCGAATCGGCACCCTCGTGTCGGATGCTGTTGGAATGCCGTTCTCGCTCCGGGCCGAGCATCGTCCGAGAAGTTGCTCTCATGTGCTGTAAGACAATTATCCGTAGGGTGGAGATTTACGTTTAATTGAACTGTCGAATTTGTAGAGAATCAATCATGCCGTCCTAAAAGGTAATTGATGTTTAATTTTATTGGGGAGGAACTTGTCGGATTATTACGAATACGTTCTTGAAAACGCGCGTGTTGTACGGTAATGTAAATATTTGTTTAATTATAAATGATTCCAAGAAAATGTTCACTTGCATAAGATAAAGGAACAGAAGTTATATCAAGGACTTGCGGGCGGGCACAAGATAAACCACAAGCCACGACAAACTTCCTGAGGCTTGTTCATGCGAACATTCTGATTTCGGTCGAAGTGTCTCATCTCCTTACTATTACGGGAGTCTCAGAGCAAACGTTATACACTTGCAGAGCACGTAGAGATGTCGCAAATGGTCATTTTTTGCCAATGAACTTCTACCGGCAAGTTTCATTTAAACAATTGCGACGTGTGCCTCTGATAGGCAAAACTCCAATGCACCGGTGTTTGGCAGGTCATATTCTGACGCAGTCGAGGCCGTTTCATGCACACGGAGAACATTCTGCATTCGAGTTGCCTGACTGTCAGGGGTAAATATCAGGTCTAAATTCATTTATCGGTTACATGCGTCTTTAAATCCTGTTAACAGGCAACCCTACAGGTTTGTTCAGTGCAGTTGTACCTGCCTGTATGTTAAGAAATTTATCCTCCTTAGCAACATAAATAAATATCCATCGATTCATTGGAAATCAAATGTTTATTAAGAAAAAAACAATTGTCGATGTTTTGTACAAACGAGATTCAAACAATTCGGAATAAAAGTAACTCATATTCGTTTTGGGGATAATTATTGTTCATTGTAGTATTATTAATAGCACAATTAAAAGTTGTATATTAGGTTAATTAACCTCGTTTTCCTGGCATTCCACCAATGAAACTCTTCTCCGGAAATCATATTTACTGACGATCTCTAGGCGCTGTCACAGGAAGGCGTGCCCCAACTTCCTCTCTGAACGTCATTTCTTTAGGTATTTTTAGGTTCAGGAGAATTTTTTGAATTCAAGTTTTCTTGAAACACAGTATCCGAATATTGTTTAAATAGATATATTGTAAGCAACACCACACAATATCGTAGTAATGTGCCGCAGCAACAGAATTCATTTGATTACTATCGTAGCAATGTAATTTTTTGCGTAAATCATAAGATTTTATGGTAACCGATAAAATGTTGAACGATAAGTAAAGACAGAGTTTCTGTTTAACACTCCAAACTTAAATTTTGCAAGTTGAGTTTATTGGAACAAAAGGAAAAATCCTCGATTAAGACAGTATCATACCCAACAGCTTGAGTTGTTTCTGTGAACTGGCTGTGTTTTAAGTTTTTATTTGGTTTTAGGACATTTTAAAAACATTTTAAGAGAATGTTATTGATCATTTTTCGCGATGTATTAGGTCATCAAAATCTGTTCCCTACTCGTTGGGACCAGGTGACCACTCTGCGTACCCTGCAAGAGTACACCTTCGCTCTGAGACGCCTGTGATTGTTCTCCCGTCCGCTGGACGCGCTGCTCGCGGCGAAGCGACCCCCCCCCCCCCCCCGGGCCAACGAGTGGAGCGCCTCGGTGCATGGGTGTTGGATGCGCGCGCGGCCCCGGGCTCTTGGCTTGGCCGTTGGGACTCTCGACTCACTAACCCTCTAACTCTACTGTACTGGTACTTGGACTATACGACTCTCCGTTGCTCTGGGACAGGTCTCCTACTACCTAGTGCTCTATACTTCACGACGTTCACAATCTCCACTGACAGCGACGTCACAACGATGTGACTCTTCCTCGCGGTGCATCGCTGGATAACGCATGCACTCCACGCACGATGCGTGCGCAATATGCGACTCCACATACATCATCTAGCCATGCAATGAAATAGTTAATTCGTTGTTGCTTTTTTTAATAGTCACAATTCAATTACAGTGGTAAGATGCATTCAATAGATATTGTTATTGAAAGTTGTCCATAATTAGGAACTGAAGTATTGAAGAGACTTTCCTATAAGCACCACGTAAACTCAAAGAAAACCAGATTTGTTTTCTCGGACACCATTGTGTTGTAAGAGATTGGTCCTCCAAGGTGCTTTTTTATATTTTTAAAATCGTAAAATTCTAGTTCACATCACAGTTTCAAGAGGCCGAAGTATCTAAATACATTATGGAGGTTTTGGCTTCTATTTCAGAGGAGGCATTGACACATAAAAAAGAATCCATTTCCTATCCACACATGTACACGCTAATACACTGTGGAATTAAGTTAATGAAACAATGTTTTTTGAGTTGCGTATAATTGAATTAAAACAAATCAATGAGTACGTTTTCGTGAGTCCTTGAGGTGATTCTAAGATCATGTCGAAGACTCAACCCAAGAGCCCCTTTCTGTAAGGAGGGCATTGGGGAGAGCTTGGGTACTGCTCTTTACGACACCGATGTCGATGTTTTCAAAACAGTGTTTCGCGAGTGAAACATATCCAGAACCCTAATTTTGTAAATGATATAATATGAAATAATGAGAGCCCTCGGACTTTCAGGGTCATCATTGACCATTGTTCTTATTTTTAATTCGTTTTCAGTGAAATCATAATTGTAAATTAATTAACATTGCCTCAGTCAAATTAAATTTTCTTGCGCATGAACATAATATTAGGGTTTTCTTTACCAGCAATTGAAAATTGATGTTTCAAAACATCGATGGATTTTCGTCGGCGTATTATTATTAACATCGATGATTGGTAGCATCGATGTCGCATCACTACTGCTGACTGAAGACGACGTGACGTGACGGCCCGGCCGAGCGCTGGGGCCCGACGCAAGCGCACTGCAAAGCGAGGCGAGGCGAGCGCAGCGCAGCACAACACAGCACGTGCGGAGAGCTCTTGGCGCAGCCATCGACCATCTCCTCCTCCGAATTAGGCTCACGGCGTCTCAGCTCCTCCAGCTGCCTACGCCGTCCAGCACTCTTCATTTTCATGTTTAAAAATATAGAAAAATGCACTCTGAATAGCTCTTCTTTGTATGACTTCCCTCTGTGACGGTCGCGGGCCCCAGAGGCCTGTGGTAAGCAGCTCGCAACCCCTTCCGCCATCTATTTGGCTTCCCTCCCTGCCAGAAGCTTTGCATTGCCCTTGCCAACCAGAGACTGCATGAACTGGCAAGACAGTGAAAAGTGGCAAATTAATTTTCATTAATGGAAGGAAGGGTCTAGCCATGAGCCGGGGATATGTTGGTGGCGTTGCCCACTCGACGGCAGGGGATTCTCAAGCTCCCCTTCCACTCGGCGGAAGGAGATTTGGTCACTGCGCCAAGAGCACTCCGCAGCCGCCGCCCCGCGAGGCGCGCTGTCATTGGCTGGAGGGAAGCGCGCCTTGCTTTGTATTGCGCGGCTCAGAAAGTTCATTACTTTCGCCTGTAAACCACTTCATAGAAAGAAGTTACAAACGTGAAATTTGCCCCTGATGGATAGGCAACTGGTTAATCGGTGTTACCTGCGAGCCACGTGCCGAAACGCGATGGGTGGCCGGTCGTATATAAACCTATTTAAATAAGAGTGGAGTTTGAAGGCCATGATTTGGACGCAGAGGGCAACATTGGCATCCATCGATAGCTCCGATGCCGGAAGTGGCTCACGGCATCACCTGATGCCACCGCATTGCCTCTGGCGGAGAGGTCCGAAGTTTTTAACTGGCTGATTAGTGGTTCCTGGCGCGTTTACTACTGAGCTCATTAGTCCCGTAGTTTTGTGCGTTTTTTCCTCGGGTTGTGTCTGCGATCTTCACCCGTTGGATGGAGAGTTTCGGCGCCTACCTGTCGTCAGAAAGCAGGGGTTTCCCAATACAGGTATCTCCCATCAGCGGGGCACCGCCCCAGCCGCGACAAGCTCTAAGCTATCGACTGGTCGCCCAACAAGTTTGGTATTACTCGCGCATTTATCTTGAACGATGACCTTGATCTCGCTCCCTTGTGCAATAAACAGTTGAAGGCAAAAGCTCGCAGCGGGCACTGATGACAACCTTCCAAGCATTAAAACTTCGTTGGCGCGAAACAGAAACTAGTCAAAGCCAGTTGCTTTCATAGTGTAGAACCCCTGTTCAGGTTTATTGTCAATCCAAAGAAATAACTGAATCAGATCCAGGTCCTTCAAGGAAGTCACCTAAAACTCCCGAAAAAGTTAAGCACAAGATGTAGTTTTGACTTTCATTTCACAGACATTGGCATTACTTAAAATACTCTAGTGGCCGACTATGTAGCTAATACCCCCACTCCACCCGAAATCGTCAATCTATCGTTCAAGAAAAGTTGCCCGAATAATACTACAGTGCACTGTAATCATTGCATTGTAATGCATCAGTGCATTGTGTGCATTGTAATGTAAGTGTGTGTAAGTAAGCGGAGAGGATGGGTTAAGGAAGAGGATGGAAAGATTGCGCGCGTGCACTTACACATACATACACTCACATATATGTCGGTAGCTTAGAGCTTGCCCCGGCCGGCCACGTGCCTCGTTGGTGGGACGTACCTGGCTGCGGGAAACTCCTGCTAGGCCAGTGTAGGTCAGCGCCGGATCTTACTCCTGCGGGGGAAGATCAACGTGCATCGACGTGGAAGAGTCACCCTGTTTAAACGACCGGTCACCAAACGGCCTTCGACAGGCACGCGTCTCTATGTGGCTCGCCGCAAATGCTGTGTAGACAATGCAGGACATTTTGAACCTTTCTCATACTTTTTATGGGAGACAACTGCTCACTAGCAGACCTAGGGACGTGACCTGGCAAATTGGCGACTAGTTCAAATTTCAATACATATCACTCTTGGAAACGTTAATAAATGTTATCGGACGTAAACTAAAAATGTTTCAAACTTACCCACGTCGCGCTTGGAATCCCAGTGGGTGTGACAGGTCGGGTTCCTGGGGCTGCTAGTGCCTCCCGTTGTGGCCGAGCGCAGTCGGGCGCCGGCGGTGCTTCGCGGTGCGTGACGAGCGCGCGGGTGGGGGCGGCGCTTGCGCAGGCGGCTGACGCCCGTCATCTGCTGGCTGGGGCGCAGCACGTACCGCGCGGGCGGCATGCGCCTGGAGGTGAAGGGGCGGCAGGCGACGCGCGCCGAGGCGCCCATCCTCGTCGTGGCCCCGCACTCCACCTTCCTCGACGCCAGCATCACCTACGTCACGGGCTTCCCGTCCATCATCGTGCGCCGCGAGAGCGGGCTCAACCCCTTCATCGGAAGTACGTCGCCTCCGCGCTCCCCTTAAAGCGCGCATTCACTTTAAAATATGAAATATTTGCTTAAAAAACTCATATAAATTTGGGTCAAATGCAATCCGCAGCACTCTCTCAGCTATATCGTCATATAAATCCTAATCGAAACATTCTACGGTATTAAAATCTAAAATTTTGAGGCCAAAGGCTCCAAAGAAACGTTTCTTACGCATATTCGTGGATATTTTATTAACTTTTACTGGTTCGACACTTACCGTTACTACCAATGCCACCTATATTTCAACCGTTGGTGGTAGGGGCCATCTTTGTAACGTTACGCTTAGAAGGCTTACATTCCTCTATCTTTTACTATTTACGCTTTGTGTGTACACCGTGATTTGCGCAGACTGACGAGGTGTATTAATTCAAGGTGCGCTCTCACAGTACTATTAATCCTAATACTCAGAAGTACTATTAATGGTTGCTTGATACCAATGAAGATTGTTTCTTGTGCGTTTAGTGCCACCATTCACTTAACGTTTTGCCGTGGTCTACAAGTGCTGAGTACCTAATTGCGAAGGGAACTACGATGGGTACAGACACATGTTCCAATGTTTAAGTTTCACAATACCCATAGGAAAACGTAGGGTGTAGTTTAACATGCGAGAGTTCATGTACGGGTATGCTACACCTGTCTTTTGTACGCTCCACGCTGACGCTTTTAATCAACCAATCACTACAGCCGTATTTGCCGGCTTCTGCTCTTCCGCATGACCACGCGAATTCCGCTACGCTTCTTTTGGCGTCTAGCGGGGAAATAAGATGTCCCCAGGAGGCGAAAAGACGAATTTCCTTCAAGGCTTCTTCAGGTTTGAGGTTCTTTTACACGCAGCAAATAAACAAGGGACAGCTGGCTTTACATCTCCGAAGGCGTCCGAAGGATTTTTGGTAGTTAAAAATCCACGGCTTCCTTAGTGTGTGAACTCGCGAACATTACAACAACCCTACACGCTAACCGTTCACCACTCAAGCAGCCGAATTGATTCATTTGCCTACATTCACTGCACTACATTCACCGATGTTTCGTGAATTTGTAATCTTGTATCACTTTTTACTATATCGTTGTACTACCCGCTTATATAGTAAAGAGAGAGTATTGTAATACTGCAGCTGTAAAAAAATCGCCGATTTTTCGACAGAAAAAAGCATTCTGCCGGGCCCCGGTAACGAAAAAGGGGATACCTCTTCCTCCTACATGTATTAAATTACTTCCTCTAACACGATCAGTAGTCAGAATCGGTTCTTTAGACACCTCTTGTTAATGTTCTTTCTTAGAACGTCTGATTCGTGTTACTTCTTTTAAATGCAAACATTGTGTTATTTTACGTATCAAAATTATCTTCTGTTAGTAAAGATCTAACCTTAAAATGATCCTAGATTAATATCAAGACTTCAGAAAATAAGCTCCATCATATATTTTTCTCCTGTCATGATATTTCAGTACAATATTGTTACTACAAACATGATAAAGCTCACAGAATATAGTATGAGGCCATCGAGTGCTTGAATATCACCGAACTTAACATCACACATCAACTCCTCCTTTGAGTCAGACCCCTCGCGGGACATTTCGGTTCACCCTTTTGAATGGGGATGATGTGGGGCATCAGAAGCCACACATATTTGAAACTTCTTTCTTGTTTACGGACATGAAACATTAATTCCGTTTTTATTTTTCTCTGAGCGCAAACAACAGTTACAATGTGATTTTTCAATAAATCCTTAGCTAGCTAGATGCACTACTAAGTACGCATGCCGCACCACTTGTAGGTACTCACTGAAACACTTTTATTGATTTCGGTGTAGTTCAAAGGCGAAAACTTGCAATCTTCAGTCCGCAATTCTTGTATCTGGCTATTCATGGAAGTGTCAATAATGTTTTATCCTCCCAGAAAATGATCGTGACTCCTGGGTTCTGTCTCATAAAATGGAGAAATATTGCAAGGGCTTCGTTGCCGATGCGCTGGCCGGCTGCGCTTGCCAATACGCGTCTAACCTAGGAAGGCGCGCGGGACATTTTCATCCACAGAGAAACCCATGAGATTAAATACATTTCTGAGAATTGAAAGGCAGCTTGCAGTCATGTGTCGAGCAATATAATTTGCAAATGAAAATTAGTGGGAAGGTCCACAATATTCCCAAGTCTATAATATACTCAAACAAAACTGAAAATAAAATAATAAAACCTGGGACCTAAACTCCACACCGCTACCTGTCCCGCTTATAAAAGCATATAAAACGTTGGCTATTTAAAGAATATTTGTTTTCTTTGACGGATCTAAATGCCAGAGAATGCCTACTATTTATTTCGTGTTTTCAATGACCCACGTTTTCAATCACCCACATTCGCTTAATCAATTGAAGTATTTTTCTACAAACTTTGTCTACCTTCAGTTACGTGACTTTTCCCTGACGTAAACAGATGGCGTTATCGCCCGAATAACAAACCTGAGACTCCGCGGACTACCACACAAGCAGATAAATCCAATGCGCTCCCCGCCCCGCCCCTCCCCGCCACGCTCCTCCCCGCACTTGAGACGGCGCAGGAGGCGCGGAGAGGCCAGCGGAGATTCTGCCCACTTAGAGCACCGTTCATCAGATTCATCTTTCGGCTCTTCTGATACACTTTTAAATGCGTCGAGATTATAAGAAGGCTTAACAAACATGAAGCTCCGAGTTGCGAGGAAATAAAATCGATGATAAAGAAACAGAATAATTATAGATTTGCCTAATTGATCCTTAAAGCTATTCCACGAAACACAAAAATCATATTTCATTTACCCAGTTCGTACGCAATAAGGAATATAACAACATTAAAATGCTTGTATTGATTAAAAATATACTTCATACATATTTGATAAGTTCTTAATCGCTCTTTGTATTAAATTTCGTCATTTCAAAATTTCGTAAATGTTTATTAACGTTTGTTAAGAAAATGAAACCTATTAAATTGGAAACTAGAGTGTCACTACAACAAATCGCATTGCACAGAGCCTCCCTGCCCTGGTTCCCAGAAGTAGAGCCAGGCCGCATTACCTGCTGCATGTGGCGTAGCATTTCAGGCGCGGGGGCCTTTACATGTTTCTTCACACCTGTGGGCGCGAGTGCAATACGCGTGGTCTCTCTGACGTCTCCGCATTTCATAAACTGAATGACACTTCAAAGGCGAAATGCATTGTATTTATGTTACCTCAAGAAGACGAGTTAGTACAGATGAATGTTTCAAAGTCAATTAAATTACTCCGAAATTCTACTTTATAGCAGGTGAAAACTGTTCTTTCATAATTGTTATTGGGATCCCTTCACTGTTTGAAGTCATTCAGGGAGCCCAGACTTGTCCGCACTGAAAGTTAGAACCTTTTGCCAAAGGAGCCAAGAGAAAACAAGAGGCATGGTTCAGTACATCCATGAGGTTTCCTTATTTCAAACAAAGTATATCGAAATACTTACACAGAAAGCTTTCCTCCAAGCAACAGAAATAACTTAATCGTTAATGCGGTTAATTTTAATTACAAGCAAATACATTTCTTCCTTGTTTTGAATGAAAATATTTGGAGCGTGGGTCATGTGGCTCTTTCTGCGTTTGGGGCAAGTCACCAGTGCATTTTTCATCTCATCTTGAAAAAGAGCCTATTTACCTAGGCAAAGAGCCACACCAAGTAAATTGAACATTTTAATAATGCATTACTAAAATATGTACCCAAGTCCCAGTGATCCTAGTGATCCTAGGTTACCCTTTTTCCGTGGTGTTCGAAATGGGACTACGTCATGTTCGAACATGTCATTAAAACCTACAATGTTCGTGTTTTTTTATTCCCTTATTCTCATGGAAGAAGGTTTTGTTCTGGAGTGGAACAAACGGCTCACGCACCGAGCGCTATCTTTCATTCCTCTTCCTTACACACACACACTTGCTTGCACCACACTACCATACATGCCGGCAAACCTTGTTGGAAACTTAGAGCTTGTCCCCTGCTGGTGGAAGATACCTGGCGAGGGAAACCCACAAGCCAATGAGTAAGTCGGCCACAAGCCATACCTCACCACCAAGCGGGGACAAATCACTGCTACCTCTCATGATAAACACATGCGTTACATTTATGGGATTATTGTCCATTACAGTATAAATCTATTAATCTAATATTTCATGAGAGTTATCTGCGGCCCACAGCCGTGGTTGCTATTTGGTGCGGGCAAGTCTCAACGTCCTGCAATTCTTCAAAATATTCTGAAGTGTTCTCAGCAAAATGATATGTAAATAATAGAAACACACAATTACTGGGAAGCGGGCGAAACTTGAGTTATCTCCAAAAATAATGTGAATATAAAAATCCTGAACAAAATTCTAAGAAATTTGGCAAGTATTTTTTCATGTAAGAAGTAGGGTGTCGATTCGTTGTCGTAGCACATTCTCCCAGATGCACAAGGAATCGATTAGGCTAAGAAGTGCACCTGTTGCATTCATCTGTAGTAAGCCGTCGCATAAGGGTCGCTCCGGAGAGGCAGTGTCGACCACGAGGTCCTTTCGGGCGCGAGGAACTTGCTCTCGGAACGAGGATACGACGCGGCACGCCCCGCTGCAGCAATGGAACTGGCTTCCGGGGCGGTCCTCTATGTTCGAGAGAGAGAGAGAGAGAGAGAGAGAGAGAGAGAGAATGAAGGGAGAGTAAGAGCTAGAGAGGTTGAGAGGGAGAGAGGAAGAGGTTGAGAGGGAGAGAGAAAGAGGTTGAGAGGGAGAGAGAAAGGAATGGAGACTAAGAGATTGAGCGGGAGAGAGAGGGGAAGGGAGAATAAGAAGTTGAGAGGGAAAGAGTGGGAGCGAGGCGAGCAAAGAGCAGCTTTTTCCACGATGCCTCCCGTTTGCCACAGAGCTCATCAACTACACGCAGCCCGTGTACGTGTGGCGCGAGGACCCGGATTCCAGGCAGAAGACTATTAGAGAGATCGTGGACCGCGCCACATCGCCTCTGGATTGGCCGCAGGTAACAACCCAAAAATTCCATTCAATTAAAATAAGTCGAACATGATATTAAAATTGAAAGATTTGAACGCTATCTAAGGAAGTTGGTTGTGAGCATTTGATTCCCTTTGATTTACGTAATGTAATTTTAATAATTGTCTTTCTACTTTCTCGCTTTCCTTTCTACTTCTTACTTACATAGTAAAGAGAAAGTACTGTAATGCTTTAGACTAAAGTTGCAATTTTTTCATTGTGGAAACTTTATTCAAGGGTCCTGGTATCGAAAAAGTGGATGCGACTTTGTCCCGTCTTTGGTCAACGCCGGCGCCTAAACTATTGATCCAATTTTCTCCAAAATTCATATTCTCTCATAGATCTGGACGAACTCGAGGTCCTGCGAATTTGAAAAGTATGTTTTGATTTGGGGGAACTTAACACGAAGCTATAATATTTTCAAAATGTTCTCAAAAATGGGCCCACGTTTTTTTATTAATTTCTTTTCCGCCGTTCTTTCGCGGGTCTCATTTTCGTTGAACTTTCGAATTTTCGAAAATTATAAAAGTTACGAATAATGCAGGAAAGAATGTGCAGTTATAGCTCACCTGGTGTTATTACAAGCAGGCAAAGTGATGAAATATCTATACCGCAGATCAACACTCTACTGAGGGAGTAAATGGTTGCCTGAATGACAAGCTGTTGACAGCATAACTGGCTCCATGCAGTAAACATTTCCGTTTCCCATTTCTGCTCCCAACGCCCAACTCACGGATCGTTTAGTTTTTATAAGAAAACTACATTTGACGACCGTGTCTGTGTTTCACACTGTGTCATATTTTCGAAACATTTTCTTTGAATGGAAACACTACTTTTCGTTTCCATTCACTCGTTGAAATTCAGTGGAATTTGTTGTCTATTTCCTCTTCCTTTTAGGGTGTTGCACAATACATCTTATAAACTTCGGGGGCATGAAAAGATCTCGAAGATAATCATTTTGCCAATGAACATGCATGTAAGGCATTTAATGTGTATAGTGAAACTGATAACGAAGTTTGAATTGCGATATGACCCCGGATGTAAAGTTTACTCATCGTACATTTGTGTTTGGCCGGTCGCATTTTACCGCAATCAATCACATCATTTGGAGAGTCTCCAAACATCAATATATGAGCTGCTGAGAGGTATAAGTCACTAAAATCCCGAAACTTTCATAGAGACCGCTTAGCAGCAGCGCTTGGCAGAGAGTCGAACAGAATCAAAGACGCAACAGACGGTAAAAATTAATGGTAAATGGCGTATGCCAGTCTACCTCTCAGCGCCTCATATGAAGAAACGGCTACCAGTCTTAAGTAAATGCCGTATTTCTAACTTCGTTCCATGCAATTTGCCCCGTATGTTCGTTGGCGAGAAGTGCTTATCCTCAAGCGCTGGCGCTCGCTTGCCGCAGGTGCTGATCTTCCCCGAGGGCACGTGCACCAACCGCTCGTGCCTCATCACCTTCAAGCCCGGCGCCTTCTACCCCGGCGTGCCCGTGCAGCCCGTGTGCATCCGCTACCCCAACAAGCTCGACACCGTCACGTGGACGTGGGAGGGGCCCGGCGCGTGAGTATCGGCCCGTATTCCACTTTCCTTTATTTCTGTCTGTTATTCCTCTTGCTTATTCCTTTCCCTTATTCCACCCTCCTTTACTCCTCTCCCTTATTCCTCTTCAATATTCCGCTCCCTTATTCCGCTCGCGCGACATCGTAGTCGATGTTTTCAAAATATCAATGTTTTTATAAAATCCATGAATTTAACGTCGATTTTTAAGCCGATGTTTTGAATATCAGTGTCTTCTGTTCGATGGTTTTACGTGGTCGATATTGTAAAATGAAAAAGTTTTGAAAATGAAACTAATCATTTTCTTATATCATAAATTGAATATTTTTCCGACGAAGGTGACCAGAGATGAAAAATAAATAAAATCGTGTTCGTCCTTACATTGTTTTTCAATTATAGAATCAGATAATCCAAGTTTTGTGAATTGTAGTAATGTTGACTTCGTGTTGCCGTTGAAATGCCAATTAAAAAACACTGATGATAAATAATGATGGTTTTCGGTAGATGTTTTATTAACAACAATGTCTCAATTTTGAGCAACGTTGTTGAAAAATACCGATGTTTGTTTGGCGATGTCGCATTCGTAGCAAAATGTGCGGCTGTAGCCGAAAGGACCTAGATTTTTCACGCAAGCCAGACAACTTGTTCCGATTCAGACGCTGTCTGGAGAGGAATTGTAGCGGGCGTCTGAGCTGATCAATAGTTTTCCAAGGTTTCTCTCATCATTACCAGGAGCAGTACCTTTACAAATCGTCACGGACCGAGTGCGATCTTTCCTTTCCTTTCCCTTTACACATCCACACCCACACACGCACTAAAAACTATATCACATGTCGAGTTGGGAGCTTACGAGATAGTCTCGACCGGCGCGGTAACCCTTTTGGGAAGTGATACCTTCCTGGAAGAGGGAAAACTACCGGGAGCCAACGAGTAGATGAGCCCTGGATATCACGTCCCAGCGGGAAGAATGTTGTTTACAATGGATCCGTACTTTAGATTCAAAATGGATTTACCTGCCAAAATTCAACTACGTATACGCAAATTTCAGTGAATTTACACTGACAGGTTAATTATTATTCGTTTCCGAACGTATCAACTTCTATTATCAAATCCTGTAAGTGTAGTTCATTCTATATCCCTGAAATGGCGGTGTGTCTCCGTAGATGATGGCGCCGGACGTCCCCCAGCGGGACACCCCTCCCGTCGGCGCAAGCTGTACGTTCCCGACCAAACTCCCGACGTGTGTGTTAGTGTAGAGCGTAGGTGTGTGTGTGTGCCGGTGGCCCGCCAGGCATTTGATGGGAGAGAGGCGTGTGGTTGCAGGCTGAAGCTGCTGTGGCTGACGCTGACGCAGGTGCACAGCAGCTGCGAGATCGAGTTCCTGCCGGTGTACCACCCCGACGCCCGCGAGCGCGCCGACCCCAAGCTCTTCGCCAGCAACGTGCGCCGCCTCATGGCCAGGTGAGCCCCTCCCCCGCCCCGCCCCGCCCCGCCCCGCCCCGCCCCCTCCCGTGGCTGAAGCGCGCGCGCCGGCGCGTGTTGCAGGGCGCTCGGGGTGCCGGTGTCCGACTACACGTACGACGACTGCCGCCTGCTGACGCGCGCCAAGCGCCTGCGCCTCCGCCTGCCCGCGCCGGCGCACTCGTCGAGGCGCAGCGCCTGCGCCAGCGCATCGGGTGAGCCCCCCCCCCCCCCTCCCATATTACGATACTTAAGATCGTAAGGACATCCAAACTGTTCTAAAAAATTAATATATTCCAAACACCTCTAATATTTCAACTGTGGGCGTCGGAAACTTGTGTGTGAATGAAAGGAGTGGATGTGGAGGATTGATGGCAGTGAGCGAGTTGTTGCGCGTGAATGTGAGGTTGAGCTGATGTGCGTGTGTGGAGTGTGGCCGCAGCCGAATGGATGTGCGCGTGCGTGAGGTCGGGCTGAGGTGTGTGTGTGCGCAGGGGCGCGGCGGGGGCGGGCCCGGGGCGGGGGCGGCGGCGGAGGAGGAGCGGCTGCTGGCGCAGCTACGCGCGCTGCCGGAGCACGTGTCCCTGGCGCAGTTCGCGCAGCTGCTGGGCGCGCGCGCAGACGACTCGCAGCTGCAGCAGCTCTTCCACCTCTACGACAAGGTCAGCCACTCCGCCCTCCCTCATTCGCTGCTTACGGTTTCATTAGTCCCGTGGGTGCAGGGCACGATGCAGTGTGGTCACTTTCTAATTTGACTTTGCAAATGTGCAGAGATTTTGTTACACGACAGAAATTACTTTCTTATCAATTCTCGTCAAAGACCCTCGCTACTATATATGTTTTCGCTCTTTCTCTTTTTCCCTTCCCCCCCCTCTCTCTCTCTCTCTCCCTCTCCCTCACTCTCTTTTCCCGCTCCCTCCCTCTTTTCCAGCTCCATATTTCCCTCTCACTCTCTTTTCCCGTCTCCCTCTCTCTTTTCCCTCTCCCTCTCCTTTTCCATATCTCTTTTCCCTTTCTCTCGCTTTCTCCTCTCTCAAACACTTAGATCTGCCAACTGTAGTGGAGATCGATCAAAAGGGGTCGGAGTTTATAGATTACGAACAAACATCAATTTTTGTATTTTTATAAATATAAATTAGAATAGAGATCATAAACCTCAAGGAACCGTCTTCCCTACGTATGTCATTGTTTTTATTGTTATTGACGTTAAATAAAAAGCAATTTTTCTCGTTGAGAAAAAAGATATCTTATATCAATATTTTACTTTGTCGCACTTTTTAGTTCTAAATATCTTTTCGATTACGTAGTGATCATTATCTGAGCTAATCTTGCAGCGCTTGGTGGAAAACGAACTTTTGTTCAGAACTTCGTTTTTGTTCCCGTCTTCGTTTCTATCGAAAATATCTTTAAAATTAAAAATATTGACACTAGACATTTTTTCTCAAATTGTTACAAAGGAAAACCTCACCAGCGATATTATTAAAAAAGGCATGTATTTTCAAAGAGTGTAGAAGTAAATAATCTACTGGTTAATGAATCAGACAGGTAGGTAGAGAAAATGCCTGGAATCATATCCAGGGAAAGAGCTAAATGGAAGAATGGCAAGTTCTAAAAATAGAATGATGGATATTTGTTACTTCCAGATGATCGTAGGGCGAGTAGACGCGGCCTATTTCCACGACCTCACATGATGGATCACATTATGTCATTTATGCTCTCTCTTAAAATTATGCTGCAAAAGGTATTAGAGAATAGTTTAATCCAATGAAGGCGTGATTAATGGTACGAGTAACCTCCGAAATTGTAATTAACTTTACGATATCGAGTTCATATATTTTTTAATGATTGTCAAACTTTCTCTCTAGTGTTTGCACAAGAAAATAATAATTAGTTAAAAGAAAGACAAAGAGAGTAATATGGCCTTTGAAAATTAAGCAATAGAAGAGAGCGATCCGAATTTGAATTATAACAGATTGAGAATGGCGCAAGTCTTATTCACAAGCTAGTCAATGAGAATTAATACATTTTTGTGTCATAATTCAGATAACAGTTTCGTAATTCATGCGTGACTAGTATGAACAAAGTGGGTGACATACTTTACGAATCCGCTTCTTTATTTCTTTCCTTCCGCGAAGTTTTAGACCTATTCCTCCACGTGAACACTACTGCCACCTGGCGAGTAAAGTGATAAATGAATGAGTTGTGGATTGAATAGGTGGACGTTCGTATTTCCAACGGTAGATGGCAGCAAACGGTACAAGACTTTCGCAGATAGATGCCGCCACTTGCGAATTCAAGTAATTCGGGCGAAGTGTTTTCAAAACAAAGGAACTACATGTGATTCTTGAAATAAATTGAACAGTTTTTATGTAATTTAAAAAGAATTAAACTAGTAACAATTTTTTGTGAAGCATTATAGGTGTAAACTACACACGTCTACAAGATGTAATCGAATTTGTATGTGTTAAAATGGGAAGGGATTGTGTTTTTGAGAAAAGAAAAAGTCACCCATAACCTGATCTAATTTAAAGACATCCTATTCCTAACCTTGCAATTTAACATTGTTCTATCTTGTGTCTTGCCTCATTAATAAGAGCGCAGAAGGCTACTGGAGGAGTAGGAAGTTGGGCGTAGCACAGAGTGCGAGCGAGGGGGGGGCAGGCTCACTACATCTTAGAATTACTATCCATTTACATAAACTATTCTGTAAAACACGCTTTACATGTTAAAAAAATAATTTCGGGGCAAAAGTCACGCTCCGCTATGCACCCCATGCAATGTTGATCATTCCCTTAAATACTTTAGTCTTAACAGGATTAAACTATTGTCTAATACCTCTCTATCAGACAGAAAGAGGGAGGGGGAGGGAGAGAGGGATGCGAAGGGTAAAATATGTGATTACGGTCAGCAATGACAGGGAAGTACGGTAGAACGACCAGAGGCATAGCTAGACTGGTGCAACTGTGTGGCGCGAGGCCTTCAAGACAAAAAGGATTCGATTGAAGACACCACTGACCGCTCATAAAGATCAGATTTCTTTTCAATTTTAATATTTCGAAGTATAAAATGGTAAGAAATTACGTGACAACCGAATGTTTAATTAAGTTTCTTTTTAGAATGTTTTAGAAACGCACCAAAGAGCATAGTCTCCTAGTAGAATATTGGTTTACAACGTTCCTAAATTACGCGAGTAAAATTAGCTACAGTACCTAACGAATTAATGAATATGTGTTGTCATGGATGGTAGTACATTCGTTCTGCCTTGTTGCCCGTTCGACATCTCAAAGTTTTCATACAAAATGTTCACGACTTTTTTTTTTTAGAATCGGAGGGTTGACAGCGTAAAAAATGTCTTTGTCGTCTGTGAACTACTGTATACAGTGGCACTAATCAATAGCAATCGTGAGAGCTGCTTCACACTCTTACAAAAATAATGTTCTAAACCATTCGAGAGCCTGAGTATATATTAATTTAATCACTTTTGACGACTCCACAGTAAAGCCGGCTCCACTCATTCGGTTTTCGTCGAATACACATTTTTATAAGGGCTATTTTGGCAGCTAGTGCTGGCAACACAACTGAAGGTTCTGTGGTCGTTGTGCCGATTAGGCTGTTCCTTCATTCGTTCCTATGCAATTGGCTAACTTGTAAATGGCTTCGGCGCAACCTTGATGTTCTCGACCGAAGAAAACATAGTGCGACAATGTGCTCTTCTGAAAATTATTTTTATAAACATTACATTGAATTTACTTTTTGTGTGATAAGTAATTATTTTGAATACGAGTCTTGAATGTAAGATGCGTTACTGGTACACGTGTTTCGGGCATTATTAACAATTTAGACACTTTTGACATATAAAACATTTGTCAAGTAACATTTGAGTTATGAGAGCGTAGAACTAAGTATGGATAGTCGGGGTGTTATAATTATAAATAAACCACTCACTTCACGAAAAATGCATGGGCCAATCGCTGTGAACCATCCAGAAAAAGTATTTCAATGTCCTCTGAAAAATCATTTTTTCTTTCTATTTACATCCGTAGCAGTTTTCTTTTACTGAATATGAGCACAAGTTAAGATATGTTTCCACAAACAAACACTTTACGAAGAGGCGTTGTGGAGGCGTAGCTGCGCAGCTGCCGCGGCGGACGGATACTTCTCTGAATTACATATGATGTTCACTTATTTAGCGAACTGTCACTTTGGCTCATTCTTAGGCAGATTCTTCTTAAAGCAAGCGAGCGACTGCTCGCCCAACCCCGAGGAGCTGATGTGCTCGGCAAATGTTCGCTTCCTTCGAACTGTCCAAGACCCCTACAGGCTGCGGGTAGAGCGAGCACCGATCGTTTGTCGCTCAACAAATAGCAAGCAACCCATGCTCGCTACTTGCTGAAAACCGAATGTGTGGAGTCGCCTTGAAGGTTTCGCAATCACACGTACCATAAGTTACTAGCTTAATAAGTGTAGTTTCCATTAATACAACTAAACTTGTCAAAACTAATACAAAGTTGGGTAAAAAATTAAATAATGGTTCTATAGAATGGTACAGAATTTCTCGTAATAGAATTCCTATTACGAAGTTGGGTAAAAAGTTAAATTGATTGGTGGGCAGTGAGCCCCATGGGCGAGTGTGAAGATGGAAGGAGTTCAACGAAGTCCGACAGCCGATGTGATTGTTGGTATTAAATAAAACAATCCAACTGCCAGAGTCTGGGAAGACATACCCCGAATGATAACGCAGTTTCTATCATAACTCCTTGCACAAAGGGCTTCTGGCTATGAGAATATGGAGTCACCTCTTGATCCAGCGAATACTTTATACAAAGAATCATTGTGGCCGCGATATCATGTAGAATTTATCACTTAAGTGAATGAGAGAGAATATGCACAATTTATCACCTTTTCCAGAATGTTTCTCTACCCTTCTTTTTCTTCTCCGTCTTTTTTACGGGGGCTTACTTTTTTATAAAATTTTCGAAGGCTCCAGAGGAACCGCTCCTCTCAACTCCGTTCTTGAGCTAGGTCTGCGTTTGGGTATTCACAGTACAACACTAGGATTGCATGATCCAGGTTGTCGAGCATTTGGATAAAAGTCAGTTTGAACATGCTGTTTACGATATTAGTGTGTTTTTAGATAGAGCGCTCGTAGAGTACAAGTGTGAAGAAGGAACCAATGACGTAATGCATCATCTCATGATGCGATGCAATAATTTAATTGATAATCGGGTCGCTAACACAGTAAGCAATTGAAAATCTAAAAATAAGACCAAATATTACATGTGCACAATTGTTTATGTATGCTTAAATCTCTTTTATAGTATTAATGAGTACCTCCATAAATAAGCTCTCAAACCCCGTTTAGACCTTCTTCACATGAGCCCCGTAACTCAACGTAGCTCTGGCTCTGAGAATGAATTATGCTAATTGAGTGTTCATAAGATATTTGTTTCAGAAAAGTATGAATAATACAGTAATAAAATATTTTTGAGGTAGGGTTAGAAAATAAGTGAAAAGTTGTAATAAACTAAAAATTTGTTTCTTCAATCATATTAAAAAAATCTTTATCCTTATGATTTGTTTGTAAAAAATTAATTTTATTAAAAACAGAGAACGTTTTGATTCTTTATACGTTAACTATTGCTTCACTTTTAAGGAAATAGAAGCATATTTTATAAATTTTTGTATATATTAATGATAATTTGAATTGTTAGAATAATTTTAATGTCATCAATGTTTAATGATTAATTATTTTTATAGTTATATGAAAAATTTATAGTTATTTATTTATTTAATGATTACATTATTATTATTATTATTATTATTATTATTATTATTATTATTATTATTATTATTATTATTGTGGTGGTGATTGAATGTGTGTGTTGTTGCAGCAGGGGGACGGGCGGCTAGCGTTGCGCGACTATCTCTTCGACTCGCTGCTAGTGGCGCGACGCTGCGGCTCCCCACAGGAAGCTCTGCAGCTGGCCTTCCAAGTGAGTGTACGCCAGCGAGCGCGCTCTATCCTGTCGCCCTCGTGCGCGAACTAAAAGGTTCACCTGCCAACGAGCGAGCAGGCGCGCTCTGTGGGAGACCCATGTTGCCGCTGCGTTCAACCACGGTTCATTCACGTGGATATCATCATTGCAAGAAATTGATTCTCGTGCATTTTGGCATTTCCCACAAATACCCCAAATAGTTATTGTGCAATATTGGAAAGACTGCATAAAGGCACATGGGCGACACTAGCAGCCCTATTATTGCATCCTGTAGTAATGTCCACAACTCGCTACACTGCTTACAATACGAGTAACGCAACATATACGGTAATTTTCGGGTTTGTGAAGCAAGTGAATGGAAAACTAGTGGTGTAAGAACATTAGTTTGCTCATAATATTATACTTTTGAGAAAAATATTTTGTTTCAAATTGCCTTTACTTGAAGCGCGATTGCCTCTACGTGAAAACTATTCGTAATTCCAAAATATTTACGGCCGGCCGGCCGGCCAGACGGACAGTCGGACAGATGAACGATCGGACAGACGAACGGGCAGACAGACAGATCGACCTTTTGTTGTTGTTGTTTTGGGGGGGGGTATTCGGGATTAAGGAACCACTAAACGTGGTCTGAATACACTACGTATTAGTGAAAGTAATTTACTACATAGAGGAGTAAGAAAAATCCTCTTTACGTTGTCAGGGGACACAAATCAAGCCCTTGTGTCGAAAAACGGTAGGTTTCGCCTTAGAATATACTACGTCCTCTAAATCGATACAAATAAAAATGAATTCAGCGACATGTAATCGATATCGATACCACAGAAAGAAGAGAATATTTTTACAGGCTCTTCTTCAGGATTGTAGTGTCATTTCCATGATTGGTTAATATTAATAAAACACAAATGTGGAAAATAGTTTAAATAATATGTTGGTAGATGTACCTCAATCATTATTTTACGCCTGTCGTTAACAGGAGATATGTTTTTAATATTCCGCCAGAGGTCACTAGCGGTGCAGCAGAACTTGTAACTAATAGCTTCGCTAGATATCAGTAGCAGTGCGCAAGGTAAAAATTTTTATTGGTCAGATGCGTCTTTAACCCTTGTTAACATGCAACACTATAAGTTTGTTAAGTGCACTTGAACCTACATGGAGGTTAAGAAATTTACAATGCTTAGCAACGGGTTTTAACATCCTTAGAAACCTAAATAAACAACCACGGTATACAAGTGTATTGTTGAAATAGATATATTGCAAGCAATACCCAACAATATCGATTATCGTGCCGCAACAACAGAAGTGTTTCATATGGCAGTAATGTCGTAAATTTTCTCAACAAAAATTGAGATTTTATGGTGACCGATTAAACGCTGAACATACCACGAAATGTTACAGTGTTATTACTGCCTCGTTTTTAACTTTTAGCATCGGCATTAATAACACTCATAACAATTCTAGGTATGTTAATAGCTATAATCTAATATCAATGTACTGTAAAATAAAACATGAAAAAAGAATTATTGTATTTTATTAACATATGAATCAATTACATTAAAAATAATAATCCTAACACCGAGGTTTTCTACAAAATTGATCTTTTTTCCTCTGTCACACTGATTGGATATGAAGAAAGCCCGGGCAACGCCGGATATTTTGCTAGTAACGTATATAATACGTATGCATCCGAAACTAATAATGTTCCATAACGCAACACGTGATTAGCAAATATTTAATGGCGGGTGCATCTTCCATGGGTTTGCAAGACGTCATCTGTGCCATAAGGAGTTTGACAATTTAATTGGCAAGCGCAGGGGAAGAATAGGTAGAACGACACAATAAGCATTTGCGTTTTCAGCCAATGATTGATTCCGGGCGCGTCAACTACTGATGTGCCGTAAGTGTAGGGTATGTGTAGTGCACTCGGGAGGTGGCGGCGGCGCAATTTTTCCCAGCCAGGTATCTCCTACCAGCGGGCCACCACACCCGCCGGGACAAGCTCTAAGCTCCCGATCGGAGACCCATGTCAGTGTGAGTAAGTAGTGTAGTGTAAGTGAGTGTAAAGGGTGAGGGTAGGACAAGGAAGAGGATGGAAAGATCGCACGCGGTCTGTGGCCCGTTTGTTAGGGTTCTGTATCGTAGAAACCACGGAAAACTACCGATCAGAGCAGCCGGTCGCTAGATCCTCATCCAGTCAGCGACTGAATTCAACCTAGCTGACCAGATAGGTCGAATGTCCTCCTGTCACCATCGGGACTCGAACCTAGGACCTCCCGATTAGAGGGACTGCAGTGACATCAGTTAATGCCCCGAGCCATATCTCCCGGTCATTTTCAGTCAAAATCGGAACGGATTATAGTTGGAGTACTTTGTTTGTTAACGAAAACGTCAACACAATTAATATTGTCAGAGTTGGACTAGTTTTCTTTCAATTTATGTGCATGAGAAATAAGCAATAGATATCTCACGCTTAATAATGTATAAAAAGTACAAATACAATGTAAAAAATACAATGCAAAATACAATTAATAAAATAAATTTGATAATATGCTCCAAAGTGATGTTAATAACGTTTTAAATCATTGATCAAGTGCATGCCAGTTTTTAGAGAATCGATGGGGCCTTTGTAAGTATAACTAGCGAATGAATAAAACATAACTGCCTGCGAAATGAGAGGGATGATAGAGAATATGCTTCAGTGTTTTGTAGTAGGGTAATTGGGTCCGTGGCCTATATATCCTAGCGGGGCGGGGGCGGGGGCGGGGGCGGTGGTCGCGTGCAGAGCGCGAGGTGGCGTGACGCGAGCCGGGGGCGGAGGAGCGGAGACGGAGGCGGAGGCGGAAAAGGCGAAGGCGCTCAAGAACGCCAGAGGGCGTAGCAATCGCGGAATCTACGCGTTTGAAACATTGGAACTACCCACAAGACTTTCATACCAACTAGCTTTATTTTTTTTCTTGGCCTTTTATACAGCCGACCACCCTATACACCCTCCACATCCCGACGGGACACATATTCGATCGTACATTACGATGCAACATTCATGTCGAGGTTTTCAAAACATTGATGTTCTTATGAAATCATCGATATTTTGAAGCCGATGTTTTTTAACATCGACAATATGTGTTCGATATTTTTACGTGCTTGATAATTTTTAAATAAAAAAAAGGACCATTACAACAAAATTCTATAATAGTTTTCAGATATCCATACATTTAATATTCGTCAAGACCAAAGTGACCAAGGGAGAAAAATAAAATCATTTTGTGTCAATAAATAAGCCCATATTATTTTTTAATGAATGAATGAGATAACTTATGTTTAGTTAATTATTCTGATTATGTTTTAACATTTTGTGTCGGATATATCTCAATAAAAAATAATAAACGAGGTCATTTTAAATTAAACCCCCCACCCCGACGTGAACGCCAATGGTTACTAATCCCGTTTTAAAAACATGGATGGATTTTGGTCGCTGATTTATTAACATCGATACTTTAATTTTGGCCATCGATGTTTTGTAGTCGATGTCGCATACCTAACATACTCTAGACAACAACACACTTGCGTTCTTCTGCTGGGGTCAGCAAAACGCGAGGCCGTCAGCGACAACACACACAAGACACACATAAGAACACCCAGGCCCAACGCGGAACTCGAACCTGCGACCCTTCAGACCGAAGCGCTGAGTCGGTACATGCTCTTAGCCCCCACGGCCATCCGGGTCAGCAACTTAACCCTTATCCGGGCAACCGGGGTCCATTGGACCCAGAAGCAAAAGTTTCATTATTTTACGTGAAAACTATCAAAGGTATTACAATAGTTTTTTGTGACTTTGTTGGCAATATTGTTTTCTAAATGTGCCCCAACCATTTTGCAAATGCATTACTGAATAATAAATTTAAAAAATATTTATATTTTTTTAGACGCAACCGGGCAAGCGGGGTCCATTGGACCCAGGTATCTTAATCTACTTGTAATAGGGTATTTTCTGGTTTTGTTTGGTTGATTATTTGACAACAGCTGTGCGTGCAATGGACGGACGGATGTCGGGTTACGCAACTTCTTTTCATCGGGATGTTATCTGACACTACGTGTGATAATGCGATTCTGAGAACGACGCCTTCCGATGAATAGACATTGTTGCAGCGGATTAGTGTGTAGCCAAGAGTCAAGAGAGAGAGGTTTTGCAGTCGTGTGCTGTCCAGGTTTTGTGGAAAAACTGCAAAGCAACAGGTATATTTGTTTTTATTTTATATTTTATTTCGCGGTCTACTTTACTGACAGATAATGTAAAGTTTCATTTCGTGTCTCACGTTTTTCAAACTATCCACACATACGTTTTACTTACAATATAATTTTGTATCTGTAGGCAATGTCCCGACGTAGAGGTCTTTCACTTTCTGAAATTCGGAGAGCAGTAGAACAAATTTCGGAAAACGAGGACGATTTATTGTCAACAGATAATGATGAAGAGAGTGATAGTGAAGTAGATTTTGAAATTGTAGCACCAGAGGCCAGTGATGAACATGAGGAAACTGATGAATCTGATTCAGAATATTATAATGAAAATTGGACTGAAACAGTTGTAACTCGGTATCATGGTAAAGATGGCACAGGATGGTTCGCGGAGCCGACTAGTACAGGCAGAGTACGAAGTCATAATATAGTACGGGGGTCCATAAATAAAGTTTTGTTGCCACCTAGTGCATGTATAGAAAGTCCAGTGGATGCAGTCTTTACATGGATGAATCAATAGTGGCAGAAATTTTTCGCTATACGAATGCAGAAGCTCAACGAGTATACAAAGAAAAAAGACTTCAGCAGGAATGATTGTGACAAAATAGAGATGTATGATTTCATTGGACTCTTACTGACTGCAGACCACCTAAAGAGCAACCATTGAAATTATGACACTTTGTGGAATAGTGTCTATGGTCCACCTATATTTAGAGCTACAATGGGACTAAAAAGGTTCAAGAGTATTTTGGCATTTATTCGTTTTGACGACAAAACTACTTGCTCAATTAGACAGCAAAAAGACAAATTTGCACCAATAAAAAACATTAGAGAGAAGATAAATTCAAATTTTGGAAAGTATTCCTTACCTGATACCAACATTACCGTAGATGAGCAACTCATAGTATTCAGAGGAAGATGCCCATTCAAACGATATTTACCTCCTAAGGCTGATAAATATGGGATGAAAGTCTGGTGGGCATGTGACTCTGAAACATTTTACCCACTAAACGGTATGCCTTATTTGGGAAAAGAAAATGGACAGAGAGCAGCTTCTGGTTAGAACGTCGAGTAGTGGAAGCACTAACTGAACCATATCAAGACAAGGATCTTGCCTTAAATCTTTTGTCACGTGGTCTGACTCTTGTTGGTACGGTACAAAAGAACAAGACTTTCTTCCCTTCCCAATTTCTCACAAATAAACATCGCCCTGAAGGTACATCGATTTTTGGATTTTCTAGGAAATTACGATGTTTTTTAGTATAGTAAGAATAAGATAGTGAGCATTGCTTTTACTATGCTCATGATGGTCTCTTCAAGTAAATGGAAAGCCAGAGACATTAATGTATTACAACAAACCATAAGGTGGAGGTCGATCTCTGGATCAACTCGTGCAAATCATCATGTAAAGAGCAGCAATCGCTGGCCATTAACATTTTTTGAACTGTTGGATGTATGTGGTGTAGCTGCGTATGTGATATGGAGAAGAGTGGAATGTTAAAAAACATGAGATCAGGCGATTATTTATTGTAGATGTCGCAGAGGATTTGGTTCGTCCACACATTCTAAGGACACAAAGTCAAATAGGATTGAACAAAAAGTGTCGTCTGTCAATCACCCATGTTATCGGGGAAGCAGCACCTTTTACATCTAAGAAAAATGAAGACAAAGCTAAAAAAAGATGTCACTTGTGCCATTGGGAAAGAAGTAGAAAACAAAGACAGATGTAGCATCTGTTCAAAACCTGTATGTAATGAACACAGCCAGGTAAATAGAGTGTGTCAGATCTGTAATGCTACTAAAAATGTTTAAAATAAAAAATGTAAAGTATTTGTAAAGGTATTGTTAAATAAAATAATCATATTAGCGTGTTTTGATTCATTGCCTTCGTCGAAATAATATACTTGTAAGCATAATTCCTTGGCAAATACTCCTGGGTCCGTTGGACCCCGCTTGCCCGGTTGCGTCATAAAAATTGGTTGCCCGGATAAGGGTTAAATTATGCACAGAGAAATTGTGTGCAAATACAGCGCTCCTGGTTGAAGCACATTGCACTACTGGCCGCCATGTTCTTACGGCAAAACAAACTAAGGTTGCGGATGTTTGTTTAAAAGAACATGTTTCTCGCATTTTTGTTGTTTTGTTTACTGTTATATGTGACGCATTAAAATTAATAGGTATATATTTAAGTAACTAACTACATATTTAGTGAATTTCAATTAAAATTATCTTAGCCCAGATTTTATTATTGACATTTTTTGGCCATTGTTTAAATATATGAAAGGATATTACGTTAACAATTATGAAAAAATTTAAGTTTGTTAAACATTTTTGATGATTCCGAGATTGTGGTTTGATTCCAAATAACTGTTCAGTACATTTCCATAGATACATGAATTTAAAGATTTAATAATGAATATTCACAATCAGAACTAAAGGACTCAAAAGATACAATTTTCTAAGATCAAGTGTTACTAAGAAGAAAATACAGAAACATAATTTATACTATGGGCAAGAAAACTTATTATTACCTAATTATCTTATCTGATTCTTTAAATTAATCTGGGATAAATTCAATACGTTTTAAATATTACGTATTTTGGTCTTGCTCTTCGATCGAATTGACAATTACGTTCCGATGTTATGATGTTGCGCGCAAATAACATGGCGGCACAAGGCTTCAAAACTTGGCGGGCACATCGCCACTCTATAGATTTCTATTGTTCTAAGTCGTTGTTTCATATGTTGAAAACCACACAAAGATAAAATGCCCACTATTTTTTTCTTTTCTTTTTTTCTTTTACAATCGAAATAAAAAGAGATCGTTTCGATAACATGAAGAGTGAAGATGAAAGATAATGATTAATAATTCAAACATTTATTTGTATTCGATTGCAGAGAAAATTGTTTACATTTCCCACGCGAAATAATTGTCTAGTGCATGATCTGTGCACTGATCTGTCTCAGAAAAAAAATACAACATTCATCCCGCAGAAATTTAACATTTTACATTAATACAATACTTCACTTAATTTTCACATTTCACTTAATACAATAATAACTATTCTATTATATTCATCAGTCTTAATAGATATCAAAATCCATAATAATGACTGCTGTCTTATTTTTGAGCATGCTGAATCTGAAAAAGACCAGTAAATCATGATCGCGAGAAAATAATGTTTACTATAGTCTATGATGTATCAAAAATGTTTGAAGTCTCATACATACCCAGTTTTGTAAAAAAAATAATAATGAGCATTTATAATATTAAATTTCATAATACAAGCTGTTTTATAATAAATGTTACTAACTTCTAGGGCATTTAAAGGGAGTTCGAAGACGACCGTTTCTTCCCAACGAACAAGAGGTGGGAAATTCCAAATAACTAAGTTACAAATGTGACATTTGCAGCTGATTTGCAAGCAATTTATCTTGCATTGATGTTTGGTAGGTCAAGTTAGGATGCGGACAAAGAGATATGCTGGGCACGTGCGACACCGAAGCATAAGTAAGAAATGGATAAATACATATTTTACAGGAACAAAATACCTGTAATCAATGTTTTTGAAGTTTACAAGTCATTTTCAATTAATTAGAACCATTTTTATTTCACATATTTTGGTACAATTTCAGATTTCTACGTACAATGTTTTATTTATTGCTACTCATTTCTGAAATATTTCGTTACAATTTAATACATTTACATGTCAAACGAAGCATTTCAGATACGAGTTCGTAATATATTTTACTGAAATCATCTTTCTTACAAAGCAATCTAATGTTACTGTGTTACTATGACTATCGGACCTTCGCCATCCATTTTGAAACTTACATCCCCTGCTTCTTAGAAACCGAGAACTCAGAATCTAGGATGATGATATTTGTGAAGCAGAAGTAATTTCAACGTCGTGCTCGCTCATGTTTCATATGGCCCATGCGTAACTCGATCGAAAACTAACAAATATTTTTTATAGATTACCGCGATTTTGGGGAGAGGGTTTATGTTCCAATCACTAGCTGGACGGTACTACTCCATTCACTTGAGCACCCGCTCCTCGTAAACAACATTTTCTTTGCTAGATATTTATTGAATATTTGGAATATTATTCTTATGAATAGTAAAGACCAGTGTATATTCTTTGAAATGCTCGGAATCCTTTTCACGACCTGATCGGCCACGTTCTGTGCGCGGTAAATGCTTGTATATATTAATTTTAATCACTAATGAATTTTACTTTTACATATTTTCAATTTCTTCTCAAGTAATTTGAGAAGAAATAAACACATATATTCCTATTTATTATTTGAGTAACTACGACGGTGCTTATGTGCGAATCCGTCACCCACGGTTAAACCGTGCACCAATCGCGACATAAGGTGTCATTCAAAGCGTGTCGGTCTCCTGGTGAGAAACTGATAATTTTTTTTCGAATCCGGTTTGGAAAAAACTACGAAATTCCCAAAAAGCTATTGTTTTTTATTTCAATACATTCCGCTTCCTAGTGATAAGCAAAGGCGCCGCCGCCAACGTCAGGGCGTCAAACAGCGCAAGCGCGCGGGGGCGTTGACCCTCCTCGCCCTCGCCAGGGGAAGAGGCGCTGCGATGCGCGTCGCGCTCTCCACGCCGCATGCCCCCCCCCCGCCCCCCGCCCACGAGATGCGTTGAGCCGATGCCTCGCACGCACCCAGCGGCAACGCTCGCCCCTGGCCCTCGCGCCGCTCGCCGCCTCCACGTGGAGCGAGCGCGAGTAGGGCGCTCAGGGCGACAGTTGATGTCGCTGCGGCGCCTCTGCCTGCGACGCCCTGCGGTTCCTCTCCCGACGGTGGACTTAGGAGTCGGGCCACCGAGGGGGGGGGGGGCTTTCCGACACTAGGTCGCATTCAGCCGCTGTCTGGAGGAGAATTCTGGCGGCCGGCTGCTCACATCGGTAGTTTTCCGTGCTTTCTCCGAAATGCATCAGGCGAGTGCCGGAGCAGTATCAATCGGGCCACGAACCAACCGCGGGCTTTCCGTCCTGTTCCTTGTTCTATCCCCCCCCTTACACACATTTACGCTACATGTACTTCACCACCACACGTGCCGGGAGACCGGGCGGGAGTCTAGAGCTTCTTTTGGCTGAGGCGGTGGGAGACTGGTGGGAGATGCGCGGTGGTGGATCTCCCCAAGCAGCGGGGAAGGTCATCACCACCTCTCGCAATGAACTTCTCCGAAGGCGCTAATGACCTGAGCAGTAGACGCGCCTGAAGTCACTCATCAATCAAAGAGTTACGTTTGTGTCATTGCATAAGTCTACCTTCGGCCACGTTACATTACATCCAGCGTAATGTGAATATTGAAATCTCACAAAGGTATAGAACTTGAAGATCTTAGCTTTAGAACCTGAAGGGAGCAAGTATTTTCCTTGATGAAGTTTATGGGTAATTTTGTTAATTCTTTTGTGTTTCTTTCAGTAGCTTCAGAAGTAACACCAGCTCAATGAATATGCAAAAATGTTCGTACTACTGTACCATGAGCTGCAAATCCAAACCCCACGTAGTATGAGGATAACGATACTTTTCTTTTAAGAGCATGGCCAATTAAGTAAATTTTACTGAACAGAAGAACAACTATATCTTAAACTGCTACATTATATCGGAATATGTACATTAGAAAAACGTCAAACAAAAATCTGTACCATAAACCGTCAAAGGAAAACTGCCACATTTCTTTGACCAACCATGATTAGCATTCAGCCGATGAGATTTTCAAATGAAATTCACTTACTCATTCAGTGCTGAATGTAATCGGATATGAATAATTAAATTAGAAATTACAACCAACTCATCGTCCTCGGCTGCTGCCAAGCTGTGCCTGCAACTCTTTTAAAGTATAGTGTGCCCGAAGTGGATGAATGTTACCTAAGACGGCCATCCAGTTAACGCTGATATCTTTATAGTTACGGTTATTATGTAAAATTCCGTTGGTTTCAATCGTGCTAATCAACTCCACAGAATGTATTAATTGATGCGCGTTAGTAAATAGTTTTCCAAATTTGATTCTCAAGCCGGTAGCCCCTGGTGGGTTACGTTGCACGCTGCCGGGAGCAACGAAGTGGAACAGCAGAATTTCCGGGCGAGAATCAGCACGCAAGGAAACATTAGGATGCTCTGAATAACAGCGTGCAAAGGAGAGAGGAATTGAAGGAGCTAATTCGGGCCATGAATAACAAGCAGAGGCTAATTTGGAAAACGTGATGTGGTAAATTAACATACATAAGACTCATAGAGGCAATCGACGGAGGGAATGTGGAAAGAAAAGAAGTATTTCAGAAGACGCTCTACACAAAGAAATCTAACTAGTAGTTCGGTGACAATTCTTTCTTCGTGACTTAAGTTGCTTGCCATTGGGGGGGGGGGGCAACGGCGGAGCAAGAGTTGGCGGTTTAAGCAACTATGACTGGTTAAATAAATAGTTTCATTGTTTAGGACATTTGAACATTTCCTTAGCTGTTTTTAAATTAATATTTTCTTTTTATCATATTTATCTTTCAGGGTTCTAAATCGGACATTTGTGTAAAAAGTCACAATTCAACAAAATACTGAAGTTGCCTCTGCAAGGCTCGCAACATCCCGCCTTTAAGGTGCATGAATTAATTTTCACTTACACTTTTTGACCTATAGAAGCAAAAACTGCTTCATTAATAATTCATTAAGTTTGATAATTTAAAGTAATCTTAGTCGATACAGTAGCAAACCTAACGCTGCATTAGATGCCCCAAGAATCACCAGGAAATGTCCAATCCAACACAGACTCTCCTGGATTTCTTTCCGTCTTCGGAGGAATATTTGAGCTACGTTTCATTTTTCTTGAAATGCGAAATTTTGAGCTCATTAACACAGAAGTTAATTATAAATTCATTATAGTACTTATTTTTATAAAATATTTTATATATTTATAATTACATAGTTTTTAAGTTTGTACTTATATGTACATTTTGTGCCTTTCCATGCGAATGTGTTGCGCAGGTGTTCGACCGCAGCGGAGAGGGCGACGGCCGCCTGGCGCCGCCCGACGCGCGAGAGGCCCTGAGGCGTGCCCTGCCGGCCGCCCCCGCGCACGCCCTGCGCCGCGCCGCGCCCGACGGCGCCCCGCTCGCCATCAGTAAGCGCTCGCTCCCCTGCCTTCACGCGGAAGCCACTCGCTGGCGCCACGCGCAAGCGGCAGAGCGCTTCCACGCACAAGCGCTCCGCCGCCAATCGGTGGCCCCACCTGTGGAACGCACAGAACACTTCACACATAGCCACGGCCGCCATTCGCTAACGCCATTGTGACCGGCAGGGAACCCTCACACACAGCCTGCCGCCCCACTAAGGTGGCGCTACGGTGAAGCGACAAAACACTTCACAGAACAGCCTCCCCCCACTCGTGGCGCCACCGTGAAGCGACAAAACCAACTTCACAAACAGCCTCCGCCCCACTCGGTGGCGGCCACCGTTGAAGCGACAAAACACATCACACACAGCATCGCGCCCCACTCGGGGCGCCCACGTGAAGCGACAGCACACACTTCACACATAGCCACGGCCGCCATTCGCTAAGCGCCATTGTGAACCGGCAGAACCCTTCACACACAGCCTCCGCCCACACTAGGTGCGCTACCGCTGAATGGGCACAAAACACTTCACAAACAGCCTCCGCCCCACTCGGTGGCGCCACCGTGAAGCGACAAAACACTTCACACACAGCCTCCGCCCCACTCGGTGGCGCCACCGTGAAGCGACAGAACACTTCACACATAGCCAAGGCCGCCACTCGGTAGTGCCATTGTGAAGCGACAGAACACTTCACATATAGCCTCCGCCCCACTAGGTGGCGCTACCGTGAACCGGCAGAACCCTTCACACACAGCCTCCGCCCCACTCGGTGGCGCCACCGTGAATCGGCAGAACACTTGCAAGACGCACCTATCAGAAACGCTACTGAACGGCGCCATGTGAAGGGGTCCTTAGAGAACTCCCTCCACCAGCAAAGTCCCAGTGCGTCCACGCACCGTCAGCAGAACACTGTTCTACATGGCAGCCTTCACACTAGACGCGCCACTAAACCGGGTTTTACCTGCTAGCTGTCGCCGCCGGAGCCCTCAGTAGTGTCAGTCACGAATCCTTCGTCTTGGCTGTCAGTGCCGCTTCACGGTCACCCACAGAGCGGGAGCTTCAACGCATTCCGAGCATGGCGATGCGCGGGGTGGGCAGATACCTGCACGGGGAAAACGTCATAAATAGGTTTGATGTACAGGCTGCGACAGAATTCGAAAATTACAAGAAATAAACACTGAAAATAATTCTGGGGGCCCGTCGGTAAAATAATTATCTGTTGCTAATATTATAAGGAAAACACTGGTCAGTTTTTTAAGTTAAGCCACAAGAGACAAATTAAACCTCCCGCTTCCTAATGTCTTGCTACGAAATCTATTACGGGATCGTTAATTCCCGGAATTTGATAAAATTGTTGCTTATTTGTTCCTATACAGTCCTGTTCATATTTTGGAAGGGTTTTGGGCAGGATGAAGATGGGAATCAAACCGAAATCGAGATGTTAACATTTACGATTACTGCTCCTTCCTGTGCCTGGGGGGCCATAACTTCAACAGAAGAGCGAGAGGCAGCGTCCTCCAGAGTAACCCTTCCGCTGGTCGTAAATGTTAACATCTCGATTTTGGCACCGGCTGTGTTGGCTCCAGGTGACAACTATTGCAGTGTGTCTGAACTGGAGGCCCCAAGTCCTGACGGTGTGTAGGATTTTGGACACTCGCTAGACACCTGGGTGGACTTGAGACTCTGTGTGGTGGAGGATTCTAACGGCCGGATACTCTCAAGGGTCGTGGTCTTTCCTACCAGATTCAGGGGAGTGCCAGAGCCGTACCCTATCAGATGGGAAACAGGTCGCGCGAACTGACCATATCGAACCTCGCTCCCTCCATACATGTAGAGAACAACGGATTGATTGATTAGTGATTCCGAGCCCGTCAACTGCTAGGATCGTTAGTCCCGTGAGTGTAGTGTTTCCTCTGAAGGTGGCGATGATCTTCCCCTGCTGAATGGCGAGATCCGACTGCGACCTACACTGGCATGCGGTGTTTTTCTCAATCAGATATTTCTCATCAACTGACCCAGACGGACAAACTCAATGCTCGTGACATATATGGTAGTGTAGTTCATGTTAGCGCAAGTGTGTGTAAGTAAGGGATATGACAAGGAAGAGGAAGGAATGGTCGCGTGCGAGCCGAGGCTCGTTTGTTAGGGTACTGCTCTGGCATTCGCCTGGTGTTGATTGGAGAAACCTCGGAAAACTTCCTATCAGAGCAGCCGGCCGCTAGAGTTCTCGTCCTGTCAGAGTCTGAATCGGGCCTCGCTATGTAGTGTCGAAAGTTGTACCGTCGTCGAGGTTGGAACGGAGCGACGAGGTGCGCGTGTGTGTTGCAGGCGCGCTGAGCGCGGCGCTGGAGAGGGAGCCGGAGCTGTGGGCGGCGCTGGGCGTGGGGCGGCGGCGGCGGCGCAGGGGCTCGGCGGGGCGGCTCGCCCCCGCGCACTGAGCGGTCCTCCCTCCCCCCACCCACGGCGAATGGCGACGCCGCCATCGACCAACGAAACAAGCCCTACGTGTGGACAAACAAGTTCAGTCAACTCTACGAATCGTTCACAAGTGCAATTCATTCGAACTATACACGTGAACGCATGAGTTCAATCAACATTGCAGTAAAAAATGTCTCGAAACGTAGTTTTTAATCGTTTCCCATTGAATCTCCAACACAACTGCAGTTATCCTCACGTGAAAAACAATTATAAATATCAACAATTGTTTCGTATTCCATGAAGAAGTTCAAGACTTTTTCTCTATGACTTTTCATCCAGTCCAACATATGCGCGGACGGGGGAAGTTCCTTTGTAACGTCAATTACGGCTGCTAATTTATTACTCGGGTGGCCTACGCGGACTTGTTTGTATATATTATGTGCGGCGATAATTCTAAGCATTATTAAATATCTAATGTAACCTTATAGAAATAAATATTGTTTTATGTTGTCTACACATTTATTTCAATGATACACCACCTCCTTGCTTTAAAGGTAAGGTACTTTAGAATGGCACAGACTTTCTCATACTAGTTACTTTACTAATCTGTTTCGTCTGGGCTATCTTTTCGGTTTTGTCCTTACCCTCTTCCCAGCAGCTATCTTTGGGTGTCTTAAAATACATTTTGTCACATTTGCACAAATTTTCGGTCCCCTAGTAGCAGAATATAACTTGTGATGCTACACTTGTGGGGCGCGTATTTTCCGCATTATTTCTGTTTTCTAATTTTCGAATATCAGACACTTCAACGAAAATGATATGTGCACCCTTTTTTAAGTGTCCTTTGCTCTATCCGAGGACACATTTAAAAGAAAAAATTGGACCTGGTTTTCAGAACAAAAAATTAACTCTCCTTTACGCCTTTACGCTTTAAACAATATAACGCGAAAACTACTCGTTTTCAAATAAGAGTATCATAAAATATCAACAATTACAAATTGCGTTTGTTTTAAGCATCAAATCCGCAAAGCGACTATTTGCAAGACAACTGAGCATCGTCTTACTCGAAAAACAATTTTTTTCGCAGAATACAATAAGTAAACGAGGCGGCTTTCCAAATTGACCAGTTGCCTTCATACAGGTACGTCACATTTCACACATCTTCTACACTGGTACATAGAGATCCATGGAATAATTTGTGAAAAAAGGCCTGGCTTCTTAAACAACCGCTAATTTAGTTTTCTGTTCGTTTTAAAAGTGATGTATGCTGATGAAGGTGTAGCCAAAATCTCATTTTTTTATACAAATTACTTTTTTTTCATTATTAGCAAAAAAGTATTGCTTACAAGCTTTTCTTATATTTTGACACAAAATATTCAAAATTGACTATGTTATGTTCTTCACACGACTTAATCCCATTCTCATCTTTTTGTAAAATTTCTGTATCTAGTAAATTACTTCCTGTAACGGGTTGTGCGGAGAGAATCCATGTTTTGTGATCCCAGATAATGAAAAATCGATTGAGGGCAAAACAGGGCAGTAAATGTTATGGTGTAGAAAGAGTTATGGTGCAGTAAAACTTTTTCTCGTATACTCACGAATGTATTACTCGCCCAACGTTTCTTGAACGATGGATTGAAGAAATGCGGGTATAGTGGGGGTACTAGCTACAACATCGGTCACTGGATTTTACGAAGAAATGACAATCTCTAAAGACTCAGCCATTCCTTCGCAACGTTCCCAATAATTCGCGTTCTCACTTTCCCAGAAGTTCGAGGTATCTCCTTTGATGGATCTTCTGCTGCTTCGGTCTTTTCTTTACATTTTTTGGAGAAAATCATTCACAAAAGTTTTTGTCTTCAACTGAAAATAGTTTCTATTTCGCGCCAGTGAAGTTGTGTTTGGAATGTTGTCATCAGTGCTCACTGCAAATGTTTGCATTCAACTATTTATTGTGCCAAAGAGGAGAAGCAAGGTCATCGTTCAAGAAAAGTTGCGTGATTAATATAGAGTAATACACATAATACAAAGTTATGTAAATGCTGCAGAAAATCGATTTCGAGATTTCAACGGAAGAACACTTTTGCGGTTCCTTGATACTGAAAAGGTATTATTTTCAAAACGTCAGTGTGTCCTGTGATCAACAGTGGCGACTTAAATTCGCTTAAGTTAGTTATCTAAGAAAAAGAACTAATGCGAGAAAGACTGTGACATTCTGTAGCACCACAAGATATTCTCAATTTTACACTCTAGGTAATTTTTTTACTACACGTAAAAATAAGAAACCCTCATATTCATATCTTATTGTAAACAACACTTGTAAAAGAGATTAAGATTTGGAATTTGCGTGCCTCTTAACCGGAAATACCTCTCAAGTAGCTACAGCTATTTTCTTAGATTGGCTAAATTTAATTAAGAACTCTTTGTTAATCTTCATTTCGCTACCTTTTCTCCACACCGATAATTACTACGTGTGAAGTGCGGTGATGCTTTCAGGACAAAACTAGCATGGTGATGAACCGCAGAAGCCAGTTTTTGTATACCAACATTATAAACAATCTCTTCTAGCACCAAAAATCGTACAGAAT